TCGACTCACGGCTCAAAAACAAAAGAACAAAACAAGGGGCAAACAGAGTATTGGGTTTTATATCTAGAAGTGTAAGTAACAAGAGTGCAGAGGTCTTATTGCAACTATATCTTGCGCTAGTCAGGCAGCACCTCGATTATGCGGTTCAGTTCTGGTGCCCCTATTATAGAATGGATATCAGTTCACTAGAGTCGGTGCAGCGAAGAATGACGAAAATGATTCCGGGACTTAGAAACCTTCCATATTAGGGTAGGTTAAAGAAACTTAACTTGCATTCCCTAGAAAGACGAAGAGTGCGGGGATATATGATAGAAGTATTTAAGTGGGTGAAAGGAATCAATAAAGGGGATATAGATAAAGTTCTTATAATATCCGAGCAGGATAGGACTCGGAGCAACGGATTTAAGTTGGATAAGTTTAGGTTTAGGAAGGAGATAGGAAGAAACTGGTTCACAAATAGGGTGGTGGACGAGTGGAACAAGCTTAGCAACTTTGTAGTAAGTGCTGGAACTCTGGAAAGTTTCAAAAGGAGGCTGGATAGATTCATGGATGATAGAGAGTGGTAGTAACTCTCTACAGGAGCTGCCATGCACAGGCCAACCGGCCTATTGCAGACTCCTTATTTTCTTATGTTTTTATAATGAAGAATGGAAGGTTCAGGGTGAGAGATAATAAAGTATGGAAGGTTCAGAGTGAGAGATAATAAAGTATGGAAGGTTCAGGGTGAGAGATAATAAAGTATGGAAGGTTTAGGGTGAGAGATAATAAAGTATGGAAGGTTTAGAGTGAGAGATAATAAAGTATGGAAGGTTGAGAGTGAGGGAGAATAAAGTATGGAAGGTTTAGGGTGAGAGATAATATAGTATGGAAGGTTTAGGGTGAGAGATAATAAAGTATGGAAGGTTTAGGGTGAGAGATAATAAAGTATGGAAGGTTTAGGGTGAGAGATAATAAAGTATGGAAGGTTTAGGGTGAGAGATAATAAAGTATGGAAGGTTCAGGGTGAGAGATAATTTACTATGGAAGGTTCAGGATGAGAGATAATAAACTATGGAAGGTTGAGGGTGAGAGATAATAAAGTATGGAAGGTTCAGAGTGAGAGATAATTTACTATGGAAGGTTCAGAGTGAGAGATAATTTACTATGGAAGGTTCAGGGTGAGGGAGAATAAAGTATGGAAGGTTCAGAGTGAGAGATAATAAAGTCTGGAAGGTTCAGGGTGAGAGATAATATAGTATGGAAGGTTTAGGGTGAGAGAATAACAAGTATGGAAGGTTTAGGGTGAGAGATAATAAAGTATGGAAGGTTTAGGGTGAGAGATAATAAAGTATGGAAGGTTCAGAGTGAGAGATAATAAAGTATGGAAGGTTCAGGGTGAGAGATAATAAAGTATGGAAGGTTTAGGGTGAGAGATAATAAAGTATGGAAGGTTTAGAGTGAGAGATAATAAAGTATGGAAGGTTGAGAGTGAGGGAGAATAAAGTATGGAAGGTTTAGGGTGAGAGATAATATAGTATGGAAGGTTCAGGGTGAGAGAATGAAGAATGGAAGGTTCAGGGTGAGAGATAATAAAGTATGGAAGGTTTAGGGTGAGAGATAATAAAGTATGGAAGGTTTAGGGTGAGAGATAATAAAGTATGGAAGGTTCAGAGTGAGAGATAATAAAGTATGGAAGGTTCAGGGTGAGAGATAATAAAGTATGGAAGGTTTAGGGTGAGAGATAATAAAGTATGGAAGGTTTAGAGTGAGAGATAATAAAGTATGGAAGGTTGAGAGTGAGGGAGAATAAAGTATGGAAGGTTTAGGGTGAGAGATAATATAGTATGGAAGGTTTAGGGTGAGAGATAATAAAGTATGGAAGGTTTAGGGTGAGAGATAATAAAGTATGGAAGGTTTAGGGTGAGAGATAATAAAGTATGGAAGGTTTAGGGTGAGAGATAATAAAGTATGGAAGGTTCAGGGTGAGAGATAATTTACTATGGAAGGTTCAGGATGAGAGATAATAAACTATGGAAGGTTGAGGGTGAGAGATAATAAAGTATGGAAGGTTCAGAGTGAGAGATAATTTACTATGGAAGGTTCAGAGTGAGAGATAATTTACTATGGAAGGTTCAGGGTGAGGGAGAATAAAGTATGGAAGGTTCAGAGTGAGAGATAATAAAGTATGGAAGGTTTAGGGTGAGAGATAAGGTCTGTAAGATGTTATTAAGACAGATAAGAACAATAAGATAGCCAGAAAAAATCAAAACTGTTGTGTAGCGTAAAATATATTGACTCTCTTATCTTCTTTCCTCTATTTCTAAGTCAACATATATTTGTAGACCCAGTTTTTGTATGGTATTTTATGTTAATGCTATTATTCTTTACCTATAACTACCTGCTGGTATACACGTGTCAAGAGTACTATTTATTTATTTATTTTTTATTTATCGTCTATATCTTATTCTCTACATCTTCCTCTACACCTGACTTTTATTCTAATCAGACTTGTTTATTATCCTCGTAAGGTAAACAGCACAATCTATATTAGGTTAAGCTTACCTGGCCAGTCATCATTAATTATAAACCTAAGTCACCCTTGCCCACCTACATCACCTCTGTCTTCATTAAAGTCAATATTAGTTTATATTTCCTCAAGATATCTCGCCATTATTCTTTTGTCATTGTCACCTACATCATCCCACACCTTTCCCCACTTCAGAACTCTAGACGGTAGTTCCCTTGGCTTGTATTATGTCTTTTCAGGGTCTATATATTCCTGAACGTCACAATCCATCTACATTAATTTTATCTTACTGTTAATAGCTCATCTTCTGTGTTCCTTCTTCGCTAAATCCTTCTTGGTCTTCTGAGTCTTCCACCTATTGTCTTCTCTAGTACTTTACTTGGTTCCCTTATGACGTGTTTACTTTTCACATTTGGAATCATTAATCATTTATTTCCCTTGCTGTATGGTATTTCCTCTGTCATAAAAACATACATTAAACAATTTCCTGCACCAACCTGCTCTCCTGTTTACCCTGCAGCTGCTCGCCTCCACCCCATCGACAGTTCACCGCCTCCAGCTGCCTTCCTACTGGCTATCCTCTGTAATGCTCTTCCACTTCCTCCTTTATCATATCCTTCTTTACTACATGAAGGAAATCCATCTACTTTTATGGATTCAATAAGGGATCAACACGTCTTCAATATATATCCACCACACTTCCACCAATCCACAGCCTTCCATGCTCTTATATCCACTCTACTCACCTTGTTGTGTAGTGAAGATGTGTGGACTACAGCAGGTCCCGGAAAATGTAAACAAACACTTGGGGGGAGACTTCACACATCATTAAGGGAGGGATAATGGTTGGTGTCTTAGTACTGTCTGTTGTCCTTGTCACTGTCTGTTGCCCCTGTCACCGTCTATTGCCCTTGTCACTGTTGTTCTGCTACCTCTCAGTTACTTGTTCTCGTTACAGTGTCCACTTCAGGCATGGGGCAATTAGTTAACTTAACCTAACCAGTTAACTTTTAAAATACTGGTAACTTAACCGGGAAGAATGAAAAATAACTTAACAAGTTAAATTTGAAAGTTAATTGTCCAATGCCAGCTTCACACCTGCCGCCACCACCAGCATCTCCACCAATTACCACACACACACCTACGTCCTACAATTACCTCCACCTATTATCGCCACCACCACCAACAGATATTGTCACCACCACCTGCTATCGTCACCACCACCACCACCACCAACAGCTATCGTCACCGCCACCACCTATTATCATCACCACCAACAGTTATTGTCACCACCACCTACTATCACCACCACCACCACCACATCAGCTATCGTCACCGCCACCACCACTATCACCAACACCACCATCAACAGTTATCGTCACCACCACCACCACCAACAGTTATTGTCACCACCACCCGTTATCGCTCACCACTCACCAACAGCCATCGTCACCGCCACCACCTACTATCACCACCACCAACAGTTATTGTCACCACCACCCAATACCATCACCACCACCACCATCAACAGTTATCGTCACCACCACCACCACCAACAGTTATTGTCACCAACACCCGTTATCGTCACCGCCACACTCCACTATCACCACCACCACCACCAACAGTTGTCACCACACCTACTATCACCACCACCACCATCAACAGTTATCGTCACCACTCACCACCACCAACAGTTATTGTCACCACCACCTGTTATCGTCACCGCCACCACCTACTATCACCACCACCACCAACAGTTATTGTCACCACCACCTGTTATCGTCACCGCCACCACCTACTATCACCACCACACTCCAAACACTGATGAGTTTTTGATGAAAAGACTGAACCATTGGACCGGAAAAATAACCGTCCGAGTTTATTGTCCGTATGTCTGTCACCTATTGCTGCTCTCTCTCTCTCTCTCTCTCTCTCTCTCTCTCTCTCTCTCTCTCTCTCTCTTTCTTTCTTTCTTTCTTTCTTTCTTTCATCAGGTCACTGTATTGGCTAGGACAGGTCATCAGGTCACTACTCGGACCAAGTCAAGTCTTTGGGTCACTTTTCTGATTTTGTTGGATTTGGATCGTGAAAAAAATGTATTGACCCCGTGACGTCATACTGACCTAGTGACGTCATATTGAATTCGTGATGATACATTGACCTCGCGATGTTATATTGACCTCGCGTCGTTATATTGACCTCATGATGTTATATAGACCTCGTGATGTTTTATTGATCTCGTGACGAAATATTGACCTCGTGACGTCACAGCAATTACTAATACGGTACTGCCAGTATCTGGTGCTGTGTCAGCAGGTAACAGCATGGTAGTTCTTACAGAGGGAGGTGACAGTGTTGACCGAGCCATCAGTGTCAACAGGACCAACGTCATTAAAATATTCTCCCGGGAGTCTTAGTTATAACACTGTATTAAGGTTTCCTCTCACTTGTTTTTTTTTTCGTCTGTGAACTAAAGGTTATAAATACGAGGGGGGGTATTAATATATTTATACAGAGGAGGGATCACAGCTTAACTGATGATGGGTAGCCTCATTTACCGAAGGCGACGGGTCCAGAGGGGCCTACCAGACCAGATGGACCGATCACTCCTGAAGGTCCAACGAGCCCTGTGAAGACTGCTTGGTGTTGGGCGTGATGGGTGGGAGCGGCGGCGTGTGGGCGAGGGGGTGCGGGCTCTACTACTTGAGGCACGCCCTGGGCCTCACTAGTAAACTGGATTGGCCCTGTGGGACACACCTTACCTGAGGGTCCCACGGTGCAGCCATTAGCGTCCACACCAAACACTATTTGGCCAGGAGGCGGCGCCACAAACTGAGGCGCCGCGCTGCACACGCCCACCACTGCCAGAATCACCTGTAACAACACACTCACTATAGTACACGCATGTATTAACACAATGATATTGTATTCATAGCGAAGAGAAGTCATATAATTATAATGTTTCAGGTCTATATTTCATCTTCACACTAATTAGGTATTAGCCAGAACTGTAGGTGGAACAATGTTTCACAAACCAGTACAATCAGTAGACGCTGTGTTATCAGTGGCTGTCAACAGTAGTGACTTTTGTTCATATAAAACAGAGTGATAACTGTACAGGACGTAATGTATAATTACGCGGATTTGGTGTCTTAACGAGACTCTGGGGCTTGTTTATGATAAACCACGTGTTTAGGTGGCAACAAAAGATAATGTTTCATTGAGTACAAGGTAAACTACCTTACGAGTACGCTGTCATGTAGTATGAGTGTTTATATACGAAACTAATATTAGTCCTTGTGTAAACCAGTAAAATAATACACCTGCGTATTGGAATATTTACATGTAATCTTCATCCTCGCCTCACTCTTACCTACACTGATTGATGATGGTAGAACTACTGTATTAGTCATAACATTACACGACCATCTCTATTTGGCTCACTTTAACACTTAATTTTCACTATATAATGGAGTATGGGAGGTACACATGACCCTGTGACCTGACCTATTATGAAGCGAGTTTTGTCTGTTGCACCGATAAATATTGATCAGTTAACCCGGGTAGTTTCTAAATGACCTCGGTGCTCCATACCACACACAGGTAAGACCATTATTTACCAGATATATTCAGCAAGTTGATATTGACTTCTGATATATCACGAGGTTGATGTTGCTTCTCTGGTTTACTTGGTGACTAACACAAGGGTCACTACGGTGTGGTCGAAATGCTTAGATAAACATATTGGATCAGAGAGTAATTATCAACATATTGGGATTCAGTTGAGCAGTAAGTTAGCGGTGGGAGCAGGTTTATACTCGGCGTGGCAGCTGAGTGTCTGTTAGTATCATGAAGTTGTTTCACTTGGCCGCCACATAAGACTCATATCACTAGTGTACAGTAAGTTTCCTTCAGGTGTGAGTCAGTTGCAACAGATCTTCACACTACAGTACAACAAGGTCTAGGTCTACCTACCAGTAGCCTCATGATGTGTTGTGTTGAGCGAGTTACCGTCCACGTCTGCTGGAAATCGCTCAGTCTGCCCTTTTATATATACGGGTGGGCGAAGCGTGACCTTGGAGGACCCCGCCCGTGGTGATCGGGTGTGTCTCTCCCACTTCCTAGCGGGAACAGGTAGTATGTGAGGAGCAGACTTTTTATGAGGGTGACTGCTGCCCACAGTTCTCTACCGCGGAAGTTGGTTCTGTCTCAAGATCACGCGGAGATTTGTCCCCCTTCCCCCTTCTCCTCTCCAACTTATTTATCCTGATGATTAAAAACCCTCGCGCTACCCTTTGAGGTTAAGTTAGGTTGGGTTAGATTAAATTAGATTATATTGTTATGTTAGGTTTATGTTGTGTTGTGTTTGCATTAGAGTGTTTAATTATTATCAGGTGAAGTAAGCTGGGGTCTAATCTTCTCGTGATTGTTCTCTTCCGGTATGTGACACAGGCTGATGAAGGTTTGAACTATGTCTAAAATAAGGTATAAAATGTTCTAAATGTACCCTGAAGGAGGTGTTCGCCTCGCCTGCTGTGAAAGGTCCGTGTATAAAGTTACATACAGCTAATCTTGCCTTGTTAACAGGTGTCGGTGATCTCTCAATTATCACCAAGGTCATATAATTTGCTAAATGCATGATACTCCATCAGCGGATTACCTTATTTAACCCTATATTAACCACCTTGATGTTAACCGCAATGTTGCTTCATTCTCTCTCTTTTACAAGTACTTTAACGGGCAATGTTCGGTGGATTTGGCATCCTGTGTAACACACGTCTTGCCCGAGGTGCCCACTCTTTTCTGTGGCTGTCGGTCACACTAGAATAACCCGTTACAGTACATCCTTCTTTCCCCACACAGCTTAACTGTGGAAAGCTCTGCCTTCTTCTGTGTTTCCATACTTATACAATCTGTTTCACTTTATAAAGCTGGTTTTCCTGCATCTTCGTGGTGTTGATTAACACAGTATAACCTTTTTTCCTCTCTATTTTTAATTTCTTTTGTTCTTATTTTTTCGCCCCCTAGGGCCCAGGCCCCGTTGTGTGTCGTTCGACTTGTGTCCGGGTGGGCTAATTCCCGTAAAAAAAAGAAAAGAAAAAAAAAGCAGCCTAACCTAACCTCCCAGGTAACGTTAGAGTAGTTAATCTTCAGGTAAAATAAGGTGGGGGTGGGGTAATATTTTTGCGATTCCCGTCATCAATTACAATGCCTAACCCACCATAAACGAATTTAGTTAAGAAAATACTAAGAGGGTCGCCAGCCTTACAAGTTACCTAACAAGAACTTATTTTTCACCGCATCTCAACAAATATACCCAGAAGAGGAAAAAAATACACATTGCCAAACAGATTATAGTAAAGATCACTTGAATACGTGCATTAAAACATCAACATTATATTCACTTGTTGATATGTGAGGTCTCCCATGAGTGAGGACAGTGTGACCATGGTAATACAAACACCCACACACGACAAGCTGTAAGGTAGTGTGTATATAAATTTTGAGACACCCTGTATGATGCTGTAACAAAAGGTGATCTCGCTCTCAGGATATTATACACGGGGCGTCTCGGGGTCAGGATATTATACACGGGGCGTCTCGGGGTCACTTCCTCTTCTGAATTCCACTTTATGTAATTGGGACCTTGAGGAGAGCTGGCTGCCCCCTGTGTGGTGGTCCGCCATACTGTATTGATCCACGACTTTCCACATGACTTCTATGTCGGGTTTATGAAAGTGAATATATTATTAAGTTTGTTATTATTTATTGTAGGAGTCTTTCATATCTTTCAAACAGAGAGAGAGAGAGAGAGAGAGAGAGAGAGAGAGAGTGCTGCATGACAGTCACCTGCCAGTGTGTGCTGCACGACAGTCACCTGACAGTGTGTGCTGCATGACAGTCACCTGACAGTGTGTGCTGCATGACAGTCACCTGACAGTGTGTGCTGCATGACAGTCACCTGCCAGTGTGTGCTGCACGACAGTCACCTGACAGCGTGTGCTGCATGACAGTCACCTGCCAGTGTGTGCTGCATGACAGTCACCTGCCAGTGTGTGCTGCACGACAGTCACCTGACAGTGTGTGCTGCATGACAGTCACCTGACAGTGTGTGCTGCGTAACAGTCACCTGCCAGTGTATGGTGCATGGCAGTCACCTGCCAGTGTGGGCTGGATGACAATCACCTGCCAGTGTGTGGTTCATGACAATCACCTGCCATTAAAACCAGGTATTTTCCTCCGGGATGGACTTGAGAAACTTCTTTTTAGAGAAATGCAAAATACCATTAATATGGACCGTAAATATTGTGTGGGCCGCAGACAGCCCCTCACCATAGAGAAGACAGCAAAGTGATGGCCAAGAGTCACAGACAGGTGGCTCTAACATCATGTATTAATAAGGCTCTGAAAGAATAATATGACGTAAGCTTATGTCTCGCACAACCCAGAACCAGGCGGGAAGATCCTACCCTTCATAACTGCTTGATCACTGAGACAACATTGTGGAGTTAAAGAAGATAAAGTGAGCCATGATGTAGTATACACAGTTGGTGAAGTCGTTTGACTCGATAGGTCACAATCCCGGATGTTACTGTCGCAAACGAGGTGACCCAATTGTACGGTGCAGGAGGTTTACCGCGATGGGATGTTATAATGGTAAAGGATTTGGTCCAGGATGTGTGTAGGTACGATGCTGTGTTAAGCAAGACGACCGAGAGTGTAGCTGTGAGGAACGAGGCACACGAGGATGCTGCCGAGGAGAGACGTGACCCAAGATGTGGCTGGGAGGAGAGAACCTCCACAGTATGGCTCTGAGGTGGCTGCAGTAGACTATGGTGGTGGTGGGAGGCAGGACTTGCTGGGCATGACCTACATCCAGTCAAGCAGGCCCTGGAAGGGAAGGGTCTGTACATGGGAGGCCTGTACATCAAGAACGACATAGCGGTGAACAGGTACAGTATAGTTGCCTCCACATGAACGTACCACAGCCTGGGAGTGTGTGAGGGCACAGATACAAGATGTGGCAGAGCAGCGGCATAGTGATTGGCGTGAAACCGTGGATTACCCTGTTTGCCGGTTACCAACTGATACGTTCATAAATGTCTGCAGTAATATAAAATCAATAATGACAAACAAATAAAGCATCCATATGATAAGTATTCTCCTGCATTGATGTGTGGCCCTCACATACTCCCAGGCTGTAGTGCGTTCATGTGGAGGCAACAGTACATGGTGGAGGTCGACACGTTAATGACCTGATGATCGCGTGGAGACGTGTACTGTAGGCGGTGACAACAAGCAGGTGAATGATTCTGTGTTGGTAACTTCAGTGTGGTTTATGGGAACAACATGTACTGTATGTGTGAGGAGGTTTTATCCTTCTCATACTACATCTGTCCCAACCCCCCTAGACCACCCTAACGTCACCCTTATTATTGTGTCAGTTAATGAGGCTCCTCCAGGGACAAGTGTGAGTTCCTCGGTACAGTTAAGGACTGGTTGACTGTACACAATACTGTATATGATCAGTATGTACCCCGCTTTAGTGCGGCAACATACAGCTATACAGTACACCGTACAGTATATGAATTACAGGATGACTCACTCGCTGGTGGCCCCGGAGTTTCACTATTAAACTACACCTGGGATGATGACATCAACAATGAGAGCGTCTGTCTGGCCACTTTCTCACACTGCCAGACTGTGTTGGGTCACTACCAAACTAACTAAGGAAATAGTTACCAACATGGAACAGAGTGAAGAGGGACTCGCACAACTCTGAGAAAGAGCTTTATGGTAGACTGCTCTCGTGTGAATCACAGTCAGTCTCTACGAACCATAAATTGTGGAAATCAGTGACATCATAATTGTTAACACACAACTGTACTCAGTATTGTCGGCCGCACGTTTAATGTTAAGAGGAAAATGTTTGTTAAGGTGAAGACCGTCGGGTGTCTGGCTGGAATGAAACTGTTGATCCTTAAAGCACCCCGTCAATCACACTAAACGTGGCACCAGGACCTCGCAGTAGCACCAGGCTGGGGCTCTCAGCCGAATTATGCGGCAGACAAGACCCACATTCAAGCTCTGTCCCTGAAGAATTATAACACGTAAGCTTGAGGTACAGTCCCTCGGCAGGTGGTCACTCATATAAATTATGTATTAGGTCAGTAAACATGATGGATTGTTTATTTGTTTATTGTTTTGTCGTTTTTTAATTTTTTTTGTCAATACTTTTGTTATCGACTTTTTTTTATTGTTTCTTCATCTTCTTGATTATTCTTTTTTTTATTTTTTTTCAGTTTTCTTAGCTTAATTTTTTTACTTTCACTTTATTGTTGACATTATTGACAGAAATAGGAAGAAAAGAAGACACGAACAAACAGACGAGAAAGGAAAAAGAGACAGACAGACAGACCAAAACAGCGAGGGATAAAGATACGAAGGCAGATACAAAAAAAGAGAGTGGGACAGACACAGACAGACGCAGAGGCAAAACGGACAAACTCCAACAGTTACAATCCGAGGCTGGAGAATGACTCTCTTAGCTTCGTGGATATATTATATAAAGTTTCCCGGGCATCAGATGTATATTGGATGTGAGCGATATTATTTCCTTAAACAAATATAATATGAACGGTTTTTAGTATTAATATGAAAGATTTTTTTTTTGAGTCACTTCATCAAGGAGACGAAATGCTTATATTATGACTGAAATAAATAATGAAACCTTATCTTCAATCCAGGGTATTTCTCAGCCCGACTTAACCTAACCACACCTAACCTAACCTAACCACACCTAACCTAACCACACCTAACATAACCTAACCTAACTACACTTAACTTAACCTATGATACTAGTGTGTGTAGTGATACGTGAGCGTAAACATATACTGTACACACTAGTGAGGGACGATGTGTGTTGACGTGAGGGACGATGTGTGTTGACGTGAGGGACGATGACTGTTGACGTGAGGGACGATGTGTGTTGACGTGAGGACGATGTGTGTTGACGTGACTGAGAGACGATGTGTGTTGACGTGAGGACGATGACTGTTGACGTGAGGACGATGTGTGTT